TGCAGTTGCTGATACATTGAGGAAAATTTGTTTTGGAAGTGTTTTCTTTTGTTTGCGCCAGAACTCAGAAATGTGTAGACGCTTGTGTTTTTATTATGCTGTGGATGTTGTCAGCTGAATTTTCAGAAGATTCACCAGCAGAATCATCTAGATTTTTCTGAATTGAGATTATGGGTCAATAGTCTAATTTTACAAAACATTCCAACCCTGATATTGCCTGTGTCCTAGATCTAGACCAGTGGCCCTCAAAATGTGGTCCCTGGATCACAACACCTGGGAACGGATCAGAAATGTAAATACTCCAGCAGATGCCAGACCTACTGGCTTAGAATTTCTGGGGCTGAGGTCCAGGAGTCTGGGTTTTAATGTGTCCCCCACCCCTGCCACACCCCAGGTAATGCTGATGCACACTGCAGTTTTAGAACCACTAATCTATACTATTTACAGCCATGTTTTTAGAAAGGAGCTGAAGAAATAACTAGAATTTGGAGCGTTATTGAAAATCAGCCCTTTTTAACTTAAATGACTGGGATTAAAAAGGGTGAAAAAAAAAAAAAAAAACCAGCCTCACTTACCTATTCACAGGGATCCCAGAAACTTCATTAAAAACCCAACTGCTAAAGAATGGGTATTTAAGTTCATTAAGATTTCTAGTTAGCTGGAATTTAATTAAAAAACACTTTTCCTCCAACTCTGGATGTCAAAAACTTTTCCAAAAATGCTAAAGTTGTTCTTCCAGGTGCTAATGCTGGCCTGAAGGAGGGCACTGGGCAAGTTCTACATCTCTCCACCCTCTCTCTTGCCTCTGCCTCAGTCTCCTCAACTTTGCTCTCTCTCCCTTTGCATTCATCCTGACTCTTCCTCTGCTCCTCTTGCCTCTCCACCCCCAGACTCCTCCTCTTCCTTCCCAGTTTCATCTCCTTCTCTGGAAGTTCATTTCCAGACTCAGAGGAATTCTTGGACATAAAAAGGCACAGCCCTGAAGGTAGGGCTTCATGCCCGCACCATTTTATCCCCTAAACTCCCTGGCCTCTTGCTGCTTTCCGCAGGCACGTTTTAGAGACACATGAATTACATGAAAAAGCGCATATGTCAGCCTTTAAATATTTTTAAAATTGTTTTTAAGTGAAAGCATTTGACTAGAAGCCACATCATTTTAAAATTCTGGGAATTTTAAAGAAAAAAGAGAGGAAGATTTTAAAGTCTGCTGCTTACAATTTCCTTAAGATAAGCAAATCAGGCGTCATAGCAGACCAGTAATCTCATATGTATATATCTGGTGACCATGAGTTCTAGAAGTTAGCAAACCCAAATATTTTAAAGGCGCCTGGAATTCCTACTACATCAAAACGCTGAGAAGTTGAGTAACTTTGGCCATAGGTTGTAGGTAACGTCTTGAGGAGTTTATTTCACTTCCAAGTGCATAGCAAAGAGTGGCCCGCTATAACTTATCTGGCTGATAAAACTACAGGAGCTCTTTCTATAGGCTTGATTACATGTGCAGCATGAAGAAGTGCATGGTGGGTTTGTGAAGGCAGGGGCCATCAGTCCTTTCACATACATTGCGCTGTCTTCCAAGTAGGATGCAAAGACTGGGTCAGTGATGTCCCATGGCCACATCCAGGGATGAATCCCTTCCACAAGTGAGACCAAAGGAAATGGGCACTGAGACTGAGCTAAAACCTCGTTGATCTGATGTAAGAAAATACCCAAAACCTGCAGGCCAAAACCAATCACAGGACCAGCTGATACGATGTGAATTTTAGCCTCTTTCATGTCATCTGATGATCTCAGCAGAGAACAAAAAGGTCCAGTGTTCACCTGGTCCTGCCCTTGAGGGACTATTTGGGTTCTCCAGAAGTGGACCCCAAGGCAAAGACTGGGTACCTGTGGCTTATCTGGGAGGTAATCACAGGAGGCACAGGGAAGGGAGGGAAGTGAGCCAGGGAAGGGAACCAATGAAGGAGTGTGATGAGCAGGTTGCCACTGTAGACAGCTCAGTCCTGCTGGGGTGCCTCTGAGGGACCACATGGAACGCGACTCTGAACTGTCGCTAGGAGGGATGGGGAACTTATCTACCTATCCCGGTCCACAGCAGCTGAGGGTTGTTCCTGAAGTGTTAATACCCAGAGCTTCTGGACTGTACTCATGTGGGCCATGTATGTTCCCAGAGCCCGAGATGCAGACAGTGATCAGGGTGTTCAGCATGTCTGAGTGACCACTGGGATGGCCCAGGGTATGTGGACAGGACACTAACATCAAGGTCCATGGGGCCACCTATTGCCGAGAACTCTCTGGCTTCGTGTCTGGCCTCTGAGTACATCGATTCCCTGACTATTCTTTGGAGGTGGAGAACGAACCACAAACACAAAAGACCCCAACTCCTGTCTACACTTATTGCGGCTGAGCTGCAAGGCTCTGAAGTCATTTAACCTCACCAAGGGTGAGTTTCCTCACTGGCCCAGAGAAGGATTTGGACTAGGTCATTTCTGAGAATAAAACCTGCCCCTCCAATAACCACAGGCTGTTCTGAGGCTCCTACAGGCTTGCACAAAGCCCTCCCCAGCTCCCTGCATCTGCCTACTGTGTTTATGAATTCTACTATTATCCAAGGACTACCTGCATCTTATTCACTCTGTATTTGTCTTTAAATGTACTCATTTTTACGTAGATTTGTTTGGAAATCTATATGTCATCTGCTGTAAATAACAGGTAATCCTAAAAAATTCACAAGTATTAAATATCACTCCTCCATGCACTTTCTAAAGTCACCTCCCATTTCACCAGGGTTCTGCACCCACACTGTGGAGAAAATCAAGCTGGTGTCTATCACGTCAAGTGTTCTGTAATAATAACAGTGACCGGGGATTGAGCGTCACCAGGTGATGGGCAAGTCATACACATTATTACATGATTTAGTTCTCACTAGGCACATTGACTTTCACTCCTATGGTGGGTGGGGAGTATTGTGGTTCCATTTCACAGATGAAGAAGCTGAGGCTCTGAGGGACAAGGCAATTGGCCCACAGTCTCGCAGATGCTCAGCAGTAGCAGGAGGTTCCTAATCACAGGCTACACTCCTCGTTGGGGCTGTGCAGCCCACTTGTGGGCAGTACTGTCTTACCTGGACCCAGGAGCCAGTCACGCCAATTCCCTGTGCTGGCGTCACCCAAATTCTTGGTAGCATCTTTCCCCAGAACCTTCATAATATTCTTACAGAGCTGATACTTCAAATGTCCACACTCTATGTCACAATATACATAAAGGTGTACTATGCGATGCTTTTTCCTTATTTTTCATTATCTATGTTGCTTTATTTTTTCTACTGAGAATATGGATCTCTTTTGTAAAAAAAGAGAAAAACAACAGAAAGTTTAAGCTTGTTTTTTAAATTCACTGTCATTTTCCATCAAGAGTAAAAGAGGAACCCCATTCTTTCTCCCCTTTATTTGAAGAGTACCCAGGATGGCACTGCGTGAGTGACAAGTGAGGAGGAAGCTCTGCATGCAGTGAGGACAGATGCTCACAAAGCAACATGTGGAAGTGTTGGGGAGAGGGCCTGGGAGGGCCTGCGGGGTGCTGTGAAGGATGCTAGGGCCCCGTGTCTGAAGGCTATGTTCTGGCAGTCTGAGGTTGCCACCAAACAGAAGAATGGGGATGATCTACAGGTGTCAACAGAATAGCAGAGTGACGTCAGACACTACTAAGGCCCAGCTCCCAGCTCAGACGTCCAACAGGCTCAAGGCCATCGTTCTCCAGGCCAACTATTGAGCGTGTGTCCGCAGGGTCCTCCTGAGGCGCATTCTCACTGCCATCTCTGTGTTTCTATCTAGGGTGCCCACGTGTCCTACTAGCAGGCCTGAGACAGTCCCAGCCTGCATTGACTGACTTGTGTAATTAAGGACAGCACCCTCTTTCACACACTGTCCTGGTTTGAACATATTATACGTGCTCACACACAGAGGGGCAGGTAACATAGACAAAGCAAAACTGGGTTTCCCTAGATTCTAGTTCTGATTTTCCCCTCAACCAGCAGAGTAATCCTAGACAGCAGAGGCTGGACAAAGTGAAGGGATGGCAAACATCCCGTGCTAACCCTGACTGTCCAAAGAGGCTGCCTGGAGTTCCCTGGGCATGGCAGGGAAGAGTCTGTGGTTTTGTCAGCACTTTTGATGAGTTGTAGGCATGGAAGGGGTGGGGAAGGGTAGCCCATGTGCCCTAATTAAGCAGCCCTTCCACTAAATAGTCTCCATGGGTCGTTCCGCTCTGATTTGAGCTCAAAAATGATCAGAAAAGGGCCATGCTTAAAGCTATCTGCCATCCCTGGTTCTGTACAACCCTGGTGTTCCAGAGCCATTCTGCTTTCTGGTGGTGGGATTCTCCTGGCAAAAGCAGAAAATCCAATCAGTTAGTGAGGATGATGATGAAGAATGCCAAGAAGGAAATCACCCCTGTTTTGCAAAGAACAACTCCACATAACCCTGCAGGAAAGTCAAGTGGCTAAGAACCCCTGGCATCTCCCCTGGGGCTATTGGTCATGCTATAAGAGGGAGCTCTAGGGGAAGTAGAAATTTCTTCCTCTGTTCTCTTGAGACTTCTCCTGTGGAGCAGCAATCTCAAAACTCTTAGCCAACAGAACAGAGGTATCGCTGTGTCCAAATAACCACTGCCCAAAGCAAGGTCCTTCCTAAATTCAGTGTTGGGGATCGATATGACAGGTAAAACAGCCGCTTGTCATTGTGACGCCAGCAGGTTTGGTAGCCTAGCATAGCCAACAAGCTTCATAGTCTGTGTTTCTCCCAGGAGAGAGGGGTATGTGTATGGGTGTGTGAGTTCAGTCACAAAGATGAAGTTGAAATTAACAAGTCGAGAGAGCGTGACTGCAAAAGAAGTAGTGACCGCTAAAGTAACACAAAGAGAAGCATGTAAAACATGCACTTCCACCATTCTGTTCAATACTGTAATTAAGCTACATAAGCCCAAGGATGTGTTCCGCTCACCTTGTTAAGCCGTTCAAGCATTTCTTTTAGCAGGAGTTGACATTCACACTCATTTTCGTACCTGCAAATTGGACACGTAAGTGAGAGTTGGGTGGCTACCATGCTTTCATATGTATGGATCACATAATCAGCATTAAATTCAACCTGGGTACGATGCCCTCTCCTTTAAGGAGAGGGTCTTAATTTTAAAGTAGTAGCTAATGAATGCTGCATTTCCTAGCCAACTGCCTCCCAATCAGAAAGTGGTAACATTTGCACACTGCATGGAGTAACCAGGGGCAGTTAGCGGAATAGGAGACTCCCAGCCTGAAGGCCCCAACCCCAGCCCCTACAGTCTTATTCCCAGCCACCCCAAGGACGAGGGAATTATATCCTGGCCTATCTAAAACCCAAGTGCAGCAGTGGCAGAGATGGGAGACTGCCCTGCACAATCTACACCACCATTAACCTGACCGTACTTGGATTTCCTATACTGTTTTATTTGCTGACACATGTAATGTGTCAATTTTTCCAGATTATGTCATTTAATCCTTACATCACCCTAGAAGAAAGCAGTTATTGTTAGTGCTGCGTTAAAGATGAGGAAACTCAGGCAGATGCTCCCAACACTTCGCCCTCCTCCTAGCAGTATCACTCCCCACACAGCGACAGCCTCCTCTGGGCAAGTGGGTGGGGCAGGCTGGACATGCCAGGGAGTTAGGGCCTCTGGGAGCAGCCCCCAAACTCTGAAAGAGGCAAATTGGAGCATAAGTACCCCAGCTCCTTTTCTGCTCAGCTGGGACAACTGAGGCACGTTCTATACCCAGCAGGTGGAGCTCCAGTTGCCCATGATGGGAACTTGCTTGCTAGTGCACTCAACACTGGCTGTCTTCCCTTCCTGTCTCACCTCTTCACTCCCCTACTAGTGTTCCCCGAGGACATGTTCCAAAGAAGCTACTTGACCTCAAATCTCTGTCTCAGGCTTGGCTTCTGGTGGACACCAAACTAACAGAAGGGTGGAGTCAGACCTGACACTTGAGTTAGACACCAAAACTGTGCTTTAATAACCATGCTATATTGTCTGGATAGAGAAACAAACTCCCCCAATTTAAACATTCACAAGATTAAGAAAGCAACAAATACTAGGAGCAGGTGTTTTTGTTTGTTTGTTTTTTTGTTTTTTTTCTCCTAGTCGATTTCTTTCTGGACTTCTAGAAAATGATGGGGATCGGGGAAGCACAGACTTCAGAAATCATTCTGTTCAGAATGAAAGTTTCCCTCTGCGGGTATTTTAACCCCGAAGAGAGAAGATTCCTTCCTAAATGACTCCTCCCCTTGTTCCCTATAAGGTGACCCACAAATGCCCATTCTCGCCTTCTTCAGGAGTTAGAGCCCTTGATGTTTGGCAAGCACAGGACTGCCTAGAAGGGAGACTACATTTTCCAGCATTCCTTGCAGCCAGGTGTGGCCATGTGACAAAGTCCTGACCAATGGGATGGAAGCCTAAGTCTGCCTGGCAGCTTTCAGATACCTTTAGTAAGCAATGGTGTATGTGTGCCCTTTGCTTCTCATTTTCCATCCCTCCCTCCATCCTGCAGCCAGAAACATGAATGCTGCCTTCCTGAAGGCCACACAGAACCTTCCGCGTCCCAAATACTGTAGAGCATCATACTAAACTGCTTAACCAGACCTTACACAAGCGAGAAACATTTTGGATAAGCCAATGACATTTTGGGTAAGCCACTATCACTTTTTCTGATTTTTTTCTCTGTGTGTGGGGGGGGAGGCGGGGGTGGTAAAATATGCATAACATAAAATTTACCGTCTTAACCATTTTAAGTATACAGTTGGTGATATTAAATACATTCATAATGTTGTGAAATCACCACCAACATCCATCTCTGTAACTCCTCATCTTGCAAAGCGGAAACTCCGCACCCATTAAATACTAACTCCCCATTCTCTCCATCCCCAGCCCTGGCAACCACCATTGTACTTTCTGTCTCTGTGAATTTGACTAGCCCAACTACCTTATGTAAGTGGAATCATACAATATTTTTCTTTCTGTAACTGACTTATTTCACTTAGCATAATGTCTTCAAGTTTCAACCATACTGGAGCATATGTCAGAATTTCCTTCCTTTTTTAGGGTGTATAATATTCTATGTATCCAACACATTTTATTTATCTATTCCTTTGTCGATGGACACTTGGGTTGCTGCTACATTTTAGGGAGCTATCTAGGAAGCTATCTGTTGTGAACAACGCTGTTACGAACATGTGTATATAAGTAGCTATTCAAAACCCTCTTTCAATTCTTTCAATTCTTTTGGGTATATGTACAGAAATGGAATTGTTGCATCATATGGTAATTCTATTTTTTAATTTTTTGAGGAACTGCCATACTGTTTTCCACAATGGCTGTACCATTTTACAGTCCCATTAACAGTCCACAATGTCTCCACATCCTAACAAACACTTATTTTCTGTTTGTTTGTTTTTTTTATAGTTGCCATCCTAATTGGTCTGAAGTGGGCCAAGGTCAATTTGGAGTTTATGTCATTTATAGTAGAAAGCAATCCTAATTAACACTGAGCCCAACCCACAAAGCATAGTTTTCTGTGCCCTTGCATGCCCATGCCGTGGGTTCAAGTCAAGTATTCTGCAACCATGAAAGATGCTAGAAAATCACACCACTGTGTTCTCAGAAGGAAAAGTCCTGAACTGAAGGAAGAACAATTATGAATATGTGCAATGTGCACACATTCCCAGATCTAAAACCATCTGCGAAGCTGAGTTCCATCTACGAAGCTAAACATCTCTGCACAAGTTTTACATTTCATACCAGGATGTTACATGTAGTCATTTATTTTGTGTATTGCCCTAACAGAGCCAGAAATTAGTTTTTGAGTGTATCATTAGCTTTGAGAATAAAACTGTTAATAAAATCTAACTTTCTCATTGCTCTTTTCTGCTGGAAATATCTAAGAGTTTCCATAGCTTAAGAACATGTTTGACGATCAACACATTAACCTGATATTGTGGGTAATTTTCATGCTGTAAAGACAAGTCTAGATATTATATTAAAGAGACGTGATTTCCAGGCGCGGTGGCTCATGCCTGTAATCCCAGCACTTTAGGAGGCCGAGGCGGGCGGATCACGAGATCAGGATATCGAGACCATCTTGGCTAACACGGTGAAACCTCGACTCTACTAAAAATATATAAAAAAAAAAAAAATTAGCCAGGCTTAGTGGCGGGCGCCTGTAGTCCGAGCTACGAGCTACGGGGGAGGCTGAGGCAGGAGAATGGCGTGAACCTGGGAGGCGGAGCTTGCAGTGAGCGGAGATCGCCCCACTGCACTCCGGCCTGGGCAACAGAGAGAGTCTCCATCTTAAAAAAAAAAGAGAAAAAAAAAAGAGAGAGAGAGAGAGATTTCACTACAAAGAATTCATGATAATGTATATATCCATATAAGTATATTCATAAAATGAAAAAACTGGCTTCAATTAACTGTTATACATAAATTATTTTTAGTTTTCAACGATTTGGATAATTGAATCTGTCATTGTATTTTGATAGTTTTGTTTTTATTTCATTCTTGCTTTATTTAGTGTTTTGTTTAGTCTTTGACCTGTTAAAGACCTGATTTTGAAATTATTCAACTGCCAGGTAGAGATTATGACTAGCGCTAGCATGGAACCAAGGCTGCACATAGTAGCCCATTGCTGCATTATTTTCCCCTGGCTTTAGCTAGCCATCAACTCACCTCTGGAATGTAAACTCAAGCTTGGCATGTATGTGTATGTGTGTGTGCCTATGGATGTGGATGAGCGTGATTTCTATAATGATTTGCAGTTCCCACTACCACAATCCAAATGTCAAAACTTCTCCAAGGGGGCAAAGGGAGAGAATAAATTAATATGAATTTTAAATAAATCACAGAGCCTGAAGGAACTGCTTCATGATGGGCATATAACTCAGAACCAAGTGCAATCAGTAAAGACCAGGAAAAGCCAACACGGCGTTTCCTTCAACTAGGACTCATGGATGTCATGCTTGCCAGCCAAAGTACAGTAGACTATGGTCTAATGCCAATACAAAGGCCATCCAGGGAATCCTGATGGCGCATTAAGCTGCCCTGGATGTCTGAGCCACAGGGCACTTTCCCCCTTTGCTTTGGAGAACATGAGCTTCACCTGAATGAGGTCCTATTTCTGGACCTTACACTGCAGGAGTCCAAGAACAGATTCTCTCAAGATACTGTGTTCCCAAAAGAGCATAGGCCCAGGGTGAGAAAACCCAGGTTCAAGTTCTACCACCCATAGGCCGTCTCCCAGGTTCATTTTCCACATGAAGTGCTGTAATAAGTGGGTTTTCAGGTCCCTTCTACCAGTTCCAAGTCTGTTTCTATAGATTAAACCTCAAAAGAGTTGACAGTAATCAAATCAATAAATGTGATTTGATAAATGTGTTCAGAACACAACATTGAATAACCTGCCCAGGATTCAGATTGAGAAACTAGAACTCAAACATAGAGCAGGTTTGGAGAAATCCTCTGACTACCCTATACCAGGGGTTCCCAAATCTGGCTGGAATGACCAGTGGCACTCATTAAAAATGTTCAAGCTTCTGGACCCCACTTGAGGTCCAGGGTAGGGCCTGAACATCTGTTATTTTAAAATTCATTTATGAAATTTTAAATGGATGAATCTCTTACATGGTTAAATAATTGTGTGTGTATGTGTGTGTGTGTGTGTGTGCATGTGTGTGACAGAGTCTTGCTCTGTCACCCAGGCTGGAGTGCTAGGGCGCAATCTCAGCTCACTGCAGCCTCTGCCTCGCAGATTCAAGTGATTCTCCTGCCTCAGCCTCCCGAGTAGCTGGAACTACAGGCGCGTGCCACCACACCGAACTAATTTTTGTATTTTTTTAAGTAGAGACAGGGTTTCACAATGTTTGCCAGGCTGGTCTCGAACTCGTGACCTCAAGTGATCTGCCTGCCTCGGTCTCCCAAAGTGCTGGGATTACAGGTGTGAATTACTGCACCCAGACCACAGTTAAATAATTTTTTTAAAGATATAAAAAGATGTTCTGTTAAAAGTCTCCTTCCCACCTCTGTCTCCCAATTGCCCAGTTCCTACTCACTTATCCCCCTCAGGTAGCCAGTGTCATTGGGGCATGTGCCTATGTGTCTGTGTGTGTGTCTTTGTGTGTGTCCTGAAATTCTTTTTATGCAAGCAAAAAAAAAAAAAAAAAAAAACTCTACTCTTCTCCCTTTTTAAAAAACTAAATGACGATAACATACTTTTTTCCACTGCACAGTATTCCATTACATGAAGGAAGCACCTGTCTCCTATTAATGAGCATTTATTTGGTTCCAGGCTTATTGCAGATCCTGCTGCAGTGAGTATATTTGCAGGCATGCCATTGCAAATGTGTACCTGTTGGGGTGTACCTGTTGCAGTATACCTGTTGCAGTGAGTATCTTTACAGGCATGCCATTTCATACCTGCTGGAGTGCATCCTATAATAAATTCCTCAAAGTGGCCTTCTGAGTCAAAGAGCACACACCTTTATAACTTGAAAAAATGTTGACAAATTGCGTATTTTTTTAAACAGCTCCTATGTGATTTTAACACATTACTCAATCTGTGGGAGGGGAGACCATGCCCTGGACCAGTGCTTCTTAGTCTTCAACATTTAACTTTTTAAACTGCAGATCACCTAGGGAGCTTGTTAAAAGGCAGATTCTAATTCTGGAGTTCTAGGATGGGCCTAAGAATCTGTATTTCTAGCAAGCTCCCAGGTGATGCCAATACTGCTGGTCCATGGACCGCACTTCGAGTATCAAAGACCCTAGAGGACACATAGTGAGCCTAATTCCCAGGTGTCAGCTGCCATGCCATGAAGGCAATTAGACTTAACATGCCCAAGACCTAAATTCCAGTCCCGGGACAGTAATTCACTAGCTGAAGGGCCTTGCCCCAAATTCCTACATTTTCTGAGCCTCAGTCGCCTTATCTGTAAAACAGGTGCGGTAAAGATAAGTCTGTAAGGATTAAATAACACTGGTACATCTCAAAAACAATGTGCTGAGCAAAAGAAGCCGGACAATAGAGTACTTGCTGTAAGGTTCTATTTTTGTGGAACTGTAGAATAGGCAAAGTCAATCCATGGTGATAGAAATCAGAACGGGTGCCTCTGGTCTGGGGCAAAGGGGACTGACTGGGAAAGGGGAGGAGAGAACTTTCAGGGGTAGTGGAAATATCTCACTTGTTTTGTGGTAACACGGGTATATACATTTGTCAAAACTCACTGAACTATGCACTTAAAATATGTGCATTTTATAACATGCAAGTTATATCTAAATTTAAAAATAGATGAAAAGTAAATGATACAAATTAGTGTAAACTGACGTGTCATCAAAATAGAAGCTAGTCTTAACTTAAGGAAATGTGCCACCTGCGTGCATGGATGAGGTACAGGGGACCAGAGACGGACCTCCACCCCTGCGTGGGTAGCAGCGTGCTCCCAGCCCCGCGCCCCCGGGGCGGCCCACGCCCTGCCTCGGTTTCCCCCGCTGGCCGCCGCTTACTTGCTCCGGAACTCGTCGAGCGCGCGCTGCGCCTCGGTGCCCTGGCGCTCCAGCCGGGTGCGCTCGGCAGCCAGGTCTCGGGCGCGCTGGCGGTTGCTCTCGACTTGGCGGGCGAGGGCGTCCTCCGGCCCGGCCAGCTCGCCCAGGCGCTGGAAGGCATCCAGCTGCCGCCGGAGCCCGGCGTGGCGCTGCTCGAGCGCGCGGGCCCTCTGGACATGGGCGGCCACGCGCTCGCCGAGTCCCTGCAGCGCCGCCAGGCTAGTGGCCCCAGCCCAGCCCTCGTCTGCCGGGCGCTCGGGCTCGGCGGCGCGCGAAGCCTCATCGGCGCGCTCGTACTGCTCCTTGCGAGTCTGGAAGACGTAGCTGCGCCGGTACATGGCTGCTCTGGCGCGGGCGCGCGGGCGGCGCGGAGCCGGCTCTCCAAGAGGCCCCCGGCGCAGCCAGCAGCTCGCTAAATAAACACCGGAGGCCCCCGGCGCGCTACTGGGACGTTCCAGAACCGATCAGCAGTTGGGCCCGGGCGCGGGAGAAGAAAAGAGCAGCGGCCCGCTTTGTGCGGCGGATTAGCGGCCCATACAGCTCCGGGGTTGGAAGGTTACGCGGGCAATGAGGTTTTTGTTCCGTGATTGTTCAGGCCTGTTGCTTTTGATTGAATGGAGGGTCAGGGGACACGGAAGGCATGACGCTCTTTTGACTGGTTCCACTGGGGACTGTGAAGGAATCCCCAGGCGAGCTCTTTAAACTTGGACTAGCTCAAGAGCCCAGGGCTTGTCACTTTGTTTCCTCTCTCACTCAAACTCAATTGTAGAACTCTGTAACAATGCCATTTTTTTTTTTCTGATTACTTAAGCAATTCTTTTTTTTTTTTTTTTTTGGTCTTTTATATTTCCAATTGCTCGGTTATGCATGCAGCAATTCTTTCTCATAACCATAACACGACGTTTAGCACCCCTCTCAATGGCAGAGGTTCTTAACCATGGATGCAAAATAAAACGGCATGTCTCCATAAGTAGTGAGGTGGCTCGCAAGTAATTTCTTAGTAATACCAGTGCATATTTGTAAAGAGCCTACAATAACTTAGGAGACATGCACGGTTATGTTTTTGTAATTCACTCATGCTCCGATGGAGTTTGACATCCTTTCTTGAATGGAAAAAACAAATAGAGCGTCACCCATGGGGCTATAATAGGTGGCTCACGCCTGTAGTCCTAGCACTTTGGGAGGCCGACGCGAGCCGATCACCTGAGATCAGAAGTTTGAAGCCAGCCTGGCCTACATGGTGAAACCTCATCTCTACTAAAAACACAAAAATTAGCCGGGCGCGGTGGCGCGTGCCAGTAATCCCAGCTACCCGGGAGGCTGAGGCAGGAGAATCGCTGGAACCTGGGAGGCGGAGGCTGCAGTGAGCCGAGATCGCGCCACTGCACTCCAGCCTGGCTGACAGGATGAGACTCCATCTCAAAAAAAAAAGAAAAGAAAAAAAGGTTGCTTTTTTCTTTTCTTTTTTTAACATAAAATGTAATACAAAAAAATTTTAGTAAAAAATGAGACGGAGTCTTGCTATGTTGCCCAGGCTGGTCTCAAACTCCTGGGCTCAAGTGATCCGCCATTAATTGGCCAACCCTCAGAGAATAATAAAGGATTTTTCGCCATTATGTTTCATTTTATTTTACTATAGAACTAACAGTTGGATTTTAAGGACAAGCTTCTAAAATAAATAAAAAAAAATATATACACAAAATAGCTAGATTTTGACAAATTTAAAAGTAAATTGTGGGTGTTGAAAGAAATATATATATATAAATAGCTAGATTTTGACAAATTTAAAAGTAAATTGTGGGTGTTGAAAGAAATTAATACCACTTGATGAGAATGTTTCTGAATGTAAATATTTTGTCATAGCTCCAACTTTAAAAATCATTATCAAAAGGGTTGTTTTCTTAAAAGTAAGGATTAGTAGTACCATATAATTACTAACTATATGAACTGTGTGTGATTATACTACAAATTAAAGATGGAGAAAGAAAATTACACAGATCTTTGTGGAGTTTATTATTACACCAAATTAGTACCTTAAGATAATAGATTCAGTCTGGAATCAAGCTCTGTAAGGCCCTAAACTGTGCTGGTGACATGGTTATTGTTCTATTTCCTTAAACCATTTAAAATTAGATTTGGTCAAGTGCAGTGGGCCACACCTGTAATCCAGAACCTTGGGAGGCCAAAGTGGGAGGATATCTTGAAGCCAGGAGTTCAAGACGAGCCTCGGCAACATAGTGAGACCCCCATTTCTTTTATTTGTAAAAATAAAAATAATAAATAAAAATACATAAAATTTGATTGTATGGTCAAATTGAGGAGAACCACATGAATATTTTTGTAGGTGCACATATACCATGCTGACAGCATAGTAAATTGACTTCAGGCTTCCTCGAGAGCAAAACCAACATATAGCAAGAGTTATAAAATCATTTGTTCCCTTTGATATCGTGTATCAGTCAGATATTGCTACAGAACAAACTGCCCCCAAAACTAAATGGCATAGAAGTATTTATCACTGCATTCCCTGGGACTGGGAGCTCAGCTGTCTTCCAGCTGTAGGTCTCCTTTCAGCAGGAGGAACTCTGCTCCCAATGTCCCTCAAGCTTCTGAACTAGCAATGACAAAAGCACAAGAGCAAGCCCAGCCATACAAGCTCATCCCAGGCCTTTGTTTGCGTCATGTCTGCTGGCATCCCATTGGTCAAAGCAAATCACATGGCCACAAATAAAGTCAAGAGGAGGCAAGGAGGAGTCAGGGCTCAGCCTGAGGCCCTGGCAAGGGTATGGGTGGATAATCCCATCATGCTGGAGTGGAGAATCAGGACCCACAACTCAATCGCCCACACATGGGAATCCCATTTGAGAAAAATATATTCTAGAAACATAACAAAAGTTATTTCAATTCAATCCAGTGAAATAAACACTCAGAAAATATCTCCTCACAAAGCATAGCCTCAGAGTTAAATATTGCACAAAATCAAGTCTCTGCCCTCAGGGTGCAGGTGGTGAATCCATACTGACTAATGAAAACACAAGATAATCTGGACAACTTCTGAAATAAAGATCTTAGCAAAATGCTGTGGTTGTACTGTCTAACTTCAGGTGCACTGGGAAATGCAATCCTGCTATGTGCTTAGAAGGAGTGTACAATATTTGTCAACAACCCTAAAGACCATATCACTGGTGGGAGGTTATTCAGTAGGAGTAGAGATCATATGCATAAGGAAGAAATCATTGCTGAATGAATTTGTTAATTCAAGAGACATGTTTGTAGAGATAGGTTCCACAGGACTTGACAAAAGGTCAGTTATGGAAGAGTTACTCTAAATACAGTTGAATGGCACTAGTGTGGGGGCAGGGACAGGAAATGTATGTTGTTAGAATAAGAAAGATCTGAGGTTAAGTTCTGGTCCCATCACTTCAGTAAGTGATGTAACCTATCTAGTCCCAGTATGGAGACTGGTAAAATGAGAATAATCGCTTATATATGTAGGGTAACCATACATCCCAGTTTGCCTAAGACGGTCCACATTTACACCCACTATCTCAGCGTAAATATAGCAAGCATCATCTTTCACTCTCAAGGGTATCTGGGTTTGTCTGAGAAAGACATGTCTTTTATTTAGCCTGCATAACCTGAATATATAGCCTATATCTGATCATAAGGAATCATCCAGATAAATCCCAAAGAAGGAACATTCTATTAATAAAAACAGAAGGGGATGGTATTCTATAAAAATGTTAATATCATAAAAGACAAAGAGAAGCTATGAAAATGTTCCAGATTAAAGGAGACTAAAGAGACATGACATCTAAGTGCAATATAGGGCTGAGTGCAGCGGCTCATGCCTGTAATCCTAGCACTTTGGAGGCTGAGGTGAGTGGATCACCTGAGGTCAGGAGTTCAAGACCAGTCTGGCCAACATGGCGAAACTCCGTCTCTACTAATAATACAAAAAATTAGCCGGGCGTTGTGGTTTGTGCCTGTAGTCCCAGCTACTTGGGAGGCTGAGACATGAGAATTCCTTGAATCTGGGGGGACAGAGGTTGCAGTGAGCCATTATCACACCACTGCACTCCAGCCTGGGTGACAGAGTGAGACTCCGTCTCAAAAATAAAAATAAATAAATAAATGCAATATGGATCCTAGACTGGATCTTGTAGTGGAGGAGAAAATCTGCTCTAAAGGTTATCACTAGGTTCATTAACAAAATTAGAATATAGACGGCAGATTAGACCATAAAATTGTATCAAGATTAAATTTACTGAAGTTTATGACGATGCTACAGTTACATAAAATAATATCATTATTCTTAGAAAATATACTCTGAGAGGCTGGACGCGGTGGCTCACGCCTGTAATCCCAGCACTTTGGGAGGCCAAGGTGGGCGGATCACGAGGTCAGGAGTTCAAGACCATCCTGGCCAACGTGGTGAAACCCCATCTCTACTAAAAATACAAAAAAATTAACAGGGAGTAGTGGTGCACACCTGTCCCAGCTACTCAGGAGGCTGAGGCAGGACAATCGCTTGAACCCAGGAGGCAGAAGTTGCATTGAGTCGAGATAATGCCAATGCATTCCAGCCTGGCAACAGAGCAAGACTCCATCTCAAAAAAATGAAAATATACTCTGAGCTATCTAGGAGCAAAGACCCATGATGTATGCAACGCATTCTCAAATGATTCTGAATAAAATGACATGTATAAATATAAATATAAGTAAGTATGAGAGATAGAAAGGAAATTAGACAAAATATTAAGAGGTGAATCTGGGTTGTTTGTACTATTCTTGCCATTTTTACTAGAAAGTTTGAAATTATTTTCCAAAACACCTGCAAAAAGTGTGATCACCTTTGCAGTATAGACATTTAATAAATACAACTTGCTTTATGTTATAGCTATCTATATGTATAATGGCTAAGAGAGGGAGAGGTGCAGAGAGGAGAATGGCTTAGCAAACTGCAGTAACAATAGGAGAAAATGGGCTATAACCATGGAACAATTATACTTATTTATTTTTGTATTTATGTTTTAAAAAAAAAAAGGTCTTGCTATGTTACCCACACTAGTCTTGAACTCCTGTGGTCAAGCAATGCTCCTGCCTCAGTCTCCCAAAGTGCTGGGATTACAGGTGTGAGTTAGCACACATGGCCCCATCACACAATTTTAACTGGTAAAGCACAGTGGCTCACGCCTGTAATCCCAGCACTTTAGGAGGCCGAGGCGGGGGGATCACGAGGTCAGGATATCGAGGCCATCCTAGCTAACATGGTGAAACCCCGTCTCTACTAAAAATATAAAAAAATAGCTGGGCACCTGTAGTCCCAGCTACTTGGGAGGCTGAGGCAGGAGAATGGCATGAACCTGGGAGGCAGAGCTTGCAGTGAGTGGGAGATTGCGCCACTACACTCCAGCCTGGGCAACAGAGCAAGATTCTGTCTCAAAAAAAAAAAAAAATTTTTAACCTTGTGGAACATACTTTGATATAAATGAAAATGCTTATAACAAACTTGAAGGGGAAAAGAAAAGCAAAATACCAGATGCATGGTGATTTTAGCAGTATAAAAATATCAGAAATTAGTGAAATATGCCAGGTTTAATGTTCATCATATCTTTTATTCCATTTAAAGTTGTTTAAGGTTGGGTGAAGTGGCTCATACATACAATCCCAGCACTTTGGGAGGTCAAGGCAGGTGGACTGCTTGAGCCCGGAAATTCAAGACCAGCCTGGGCAACGTGGTGAAACTCCATCTCTACAAAAAATATAGGTGCATGCCTGTAGTCTCAGCTACTCAGGAGGCTGAGGTAGGAGGATCACTGGAGCCTGGGAGGCAGAGATTGCAGTGAGCTGAGATTGTACCACTGCACTCCAGTCTAGGTGACAGAATGAGACCGTGTCTCAAAAAATAAATAAAATAAAGTTATTTAAATGTAAAATAAACTTTTAAAATTTTTTAATTAAAATGTTTTTCACTAACAAATATCTAAAAGCCTGAGTAAAATAGGCTTAGATGCTTTGCCTTTTAGTCAATTTCATACTCTAGCATTTTGAGCCATCCTTCTCAGTTAAGATACATTCTGAGTTTGCTTTGGGCATTTTACAGAAACAAAAGGTAATGGAGATAATCATATATTCCTTAGAGGTGGGTTTCACGTTAGGTCTCTGCTGTCTACTATTGTGTGACCT